CCAGACTTGGAGCCAGAGAAGCGATCAGAGACCCCTGAGGGCCGCTTACTGACCTCATAAATCATGAGTTTGGGGGCTTTGCCTGGATGCTGTTGGTACCAAGACACAGCATTATAATACCCAATATCACTGCTGGTTCCAGTGCAGGAGATGGTGACCGACTGTCCAGGAGACCCGGACACAGAGGGAGGCTGAGTCGGGGCAGCCTGAGCCCAGGATCCTGGAAAGAGGGAGAAACACACTCCAGTGAGTCAGTGCTGGGCCCAGGTGAGCCTGACGAGCAGGAGACCGAGAATCAGCCCAGAGGCCCCTGAAGCCCCTTCCCTGGAGGTGTCACCTGTGCCCTGAGTGAGGAGGGTGAGGAGGAGCAGAGCCCAGACCATGGTGGAGAAGTCCTGAGAGCGCTGCCTCCTGAGATCCCAGCACTGGACCTGCCCCCAGCCCTGTCTTATCTCCTCTGCCTCAGAGGAGGGCGGGGCCTCCATGCAAATCTACACCCTGAGCTCCTCTCCTCACCCCACCCTCACCTGGGCCTGGGCTCAGAGAATTCTGCTTCCTGGGACAGTGGGGCTCAGCTGAGGAGATTAACGTTCTTGTTTGTCTTTTCTGGTGGCAGGATCTTAATTTTTTTGTACCTGATTTCCTCAGGAGAGAAAGATCTGCTGAAATCCCTTACCTGAGTAAGCTCCTGGCCCTCAGGGTCTCTGCTGTGAGGTGCCTGTGGCTCTGTGACCCTCCAGGCCTGGGCACACCCTGCAGTGCCCTCGGCTTGGCACCCACCTCCAGGCTGTTTCTACTGTCAGGAAATGGGGCTGCCCGCCCCGTGGAAACCTCTGCTGGGTGGTGTTGGTCTCTGGTCTCCCCAGCTGCAGCCTCATCCCATCCCCACCCCCACGCTTTGTGCTGATGCATCTGCAGCATCAATCCCTGGAGCACATCAGGCACATGTGGGAGGGACCCTGTAGAGGGAACAAGGGAGCAACAACCACGGCCACAGTCCTGAGCCCGAGTCCGCTGCTCCCAATCCTGCCCTTCCCTCTCACAAGTAGGTGACTTGTCCTTCCCAGCCTCTAGTTCTCAGCCTGAGAAATGGGGACCACAGAGTCCACTCTGCACACAGGTGATCCATGGGGATATGAGCCAGCAGGACAAAGGGAAAGTTTGCTAACAGACTTTTCTGTGTGCATCAGAGTGATATTTATTGTGAATGTTTGATTTATTGATTTATTTCCATTTTACTGTGATTTATGTGTCAGGTCACAGAGATCCGTGTTTCCTGCTTTCTTGCTTTCCCCCATCTGAGCACATCCTCAGGGCAATCTAAAGCTGACCACTCTCAATCCTGCGACACTGAAGACACACACACATTCGATAAATACACTTTTTTTTCCAAAACACTTATACTCTCTTTTCATCTTTCCCCATTGCCTGTGACAAAATTCTTTTAATGTTTCATATTAAAATAAATATTAATGGATTCAGCTTCCATTTAAATATATAATCTGCAGTATCCTGTCTCTCCATGTAGTTTCATCTCTGAAACCATGACAAGTGCATGGAGCAGCTATCTGAGCATCAGGAAAGGAAATGGTATGCAGCAGTTTGGGATGGCCCCAGCAGATGAAATACACCAGAGTCAGAGTGAGACTCCTGGATTTCCTGTGTCCCCTGGCTGGGACTCCAGACAACCCCACACCTGAAGCGGCACAAACCTGAAAAAAAAGTCCAAAAAGCCCTCTTGTTCAGGATTGAAGATAGCTTATTTGGCTCAAAGTGAAGGCTCAGTCCCCTGCACAAGCAGGCGGTTCACACCTGGGTTCTCATCTCTCTTACACCAGCCTCTCCCTGGGTTCACACTGATTTCCAATGGGTGGAGACGGGGCTTCCTGCACCAGATCACTCCACAGCCCCATAACCTGAAGCCATGCAGACCAGCACTGTCCAATCACAATATGATGTGAGCCTCATGGGAATCCCACTGTCTAGTCACTGCATTATAAATACAAAGAGAAGAAGTCGATGAGTTTAAATAATGTATTTTATTTATGTAGCATATCAAACAGTATCATTTTAATATATAAGTACAATTTTTTATGATACATATCATATACCTTGCATGGTTATTGTTATTACGTTTTGAAGAATCTGTGGAGATTGTGTGGCTGATGGAGATGTGAATGGGTTTCTTGTTGACAAGGGTGGGCTGTAGTGGCTTTTTAAGTGTCAACTTTGATAGGCTAAAGGAGGGATAGAAAGAATGATTTTTGCACAGGATGTGGAGGGTGGAGGTGGGCAGGATCCATCCTGTGGTCCCTGCATGGGGTGAGGCTGCTCCCCCTGCCCTAGGTTTCCCTGCAGGGAGATCTGACTCCAACTCTCCCTCAGAACCCAGAGCACTTGGCAACTCAGGCTCCCTTTTCATTCCATACAAATGCAAGAAACACTCAGATCTCATTGGACATGGGGTACTCACAGTGCTAATTTAGGAATAAACGGGTGCTTTCCAGTGTACAGTGGCCTCCTGAGGTCCCGCATGGCCCATGTTAGGGATGGCTGGTGATCTTAATTTGGGTTCCCTGGTAGCAGACTCTGAGATGGGGAATTGCATGCACAGAGGATGTGAAAGGAGGTGAGGGAGGCAACACTGGGCAGAAGGAGACCCCGACCCTCATTGAGGCCTCAGTCTTTCCTACAGGGAGCTGTAGAGCTGGGAGGATTTTCAGGTCCTCCTATATCGAGGCAGAGTCTTGAGATCTTGACCTCAGGCAGTCATGAAACCTAACCTCGCTGAGGAAGGGCATAAACCCGGAGGAGGCAGTTTTCTGCACTGAGCCACACTTCCCAGTGAAGACACAGCTCTCAGCTGCCACAAGCTCCCAGCAGTGCTGGGTGGCTGAGCTCAGAAGAAAGAATCTGGGCAGATCCCACAGTGTCCACTCCACTGGATTTTCTGTAGAGAATGACGTGAACCTGAGCTCATCTCTGGGGACTGATCCAGGATATTCAGGCCAAGGACTGGCTTGTCATGACCTGTGGAAATCCAGAGACCAGCTGAGGAATATCTACCTCAGTCTGATGATTCAACCAGACCACATTTCCCTAAGTCACAGCTGAGTCTCCACACCCCAAAATATCCTGGTCAGCTAAGTCCTAAATCCACTCTTGACGACCCCTCTTCAGAGTCCGCCTGGAGGGCTGGAGGGACTCAGATCCAAGGGTCTCAGATCCATGTGTACTGGGCCAGCCCTGCTCATGAATTTGTCCTGTCTTCCTGGCTGGAGGAAATGTCCTATCCTGGTCATTTCATCTAAATGATGGATTGTGTCATTAGGACACCTGTTAACTATTTCAGTGAGAATAGTTGAGTCATGTAAGGAACCGCTCACCCATGTGGAGTCATCAGGACATCCGGTCTCATTTCACCCATGGTGTTGATATTTCTAGGCCATCCCCTTCCCCACAGTGGACTAGCCATTGCCATCCTCAGCTCTGCCATTGTTTATTTATTTTTCGCATCAATAACTTATGTGTACTGGTTAAAAGCACCAGGGTTCTCTGTCCAGTGTGGTTTTCTGGTGCTTTTTACAAGTTTATATGAAATATTGATGGGAAATCCAACTGTAAGCCCCATGGTCTCTGTGAGAATCCCAGGGACACAGTCTTTGCACAGGGTGTGGGCTCCATAGGGTGGTGATCCCTGGTCCCTGCAATGAGGTGTATCCTGTCAATGAGCCAAGACCACCTGGTGGCCAGAGTTGTGGCCTGAGACTGGTGAGAATTCCCTTCCCTGTGGAAACCATCTCCTCAAGGAGGCTGGGGATGTCCCATCCAGGAACCAGGGTCCTGAATGCCCCACCCCACCCACCTGAGACTCCCCTGAGCACAGGAGCCGCCCCTGAATCAGAGTATGCCTGGGACTGGAAGGAAAGGCAGAGGGAGAAGGGGTGGGGGAGCCTGTGGAAGTGCCCAGGACTGAGGACTCAGCGCCTCAGAATGTTGCTGAACAGAGAGGGACAAGACCCTGAGAGGGGCAGGAGGCTCAGGCAGCCATCCTGGGTGAAGGACTTGGGTCCTGGGAGCCCCATCTCCTCACACTGTGCCCTCCTCCTAGAGCATCTCAACCTAGGGGCATCTCCGAGGGAAATTCAGCCCTTTCGGAGCTGCCCAGGCTGACACCAGGGCCCGAGTGTCTCCAGCTGCATTTCCCAGGTAAGGTCCTCATATTCTCCATCTCCTGTCAGTTGGGTGATGCTATGTAAATCTAGCACTCATGATGGGGTGACTGCAGCCCGAGGGGATAGGATGCACTTTACTGGGCTTCCAGACCTAGGACTGATCCTGGAACACCTCTCTAGACTTCAGGGTTGGCCTCCCTCTTAGGCTCCTCCTGGGCAGCCCCAGACTCTCTTCTGGCTGCAGCTCTGCTTCCCCCTGCTGGTCAAGAAGAGGGAACCCAGGAGCTTCCATCCTCTGGGTGACCCCAGAACACCTGACACCTGGGAGGATGAAAACTATGGAGTCCAGCGTCAGTCTGTGCCATATGTGAACCCTTCTGGCTCAGCACAGAGAGGTGGCATATAGGGTTGCAGGGAGGTGAGGCAGGTGCATTTCTGGTAACTGAGTCTCAGGTTGAAACGCTCTTCTCTGTTCCATGGTTTTTGATCACAGAATGGAGAGTGCAGGATAAACTGTAGCTCTTCTGTGAAAAACCTAAGTATAGTGAAATGTGGTTCTCCCCACATGTACTCCTGTTTCCTGTGTATACTGAACACAAGATTGATTTTCACACCCCAATAAGAACGGCTGCACTGTAACTGGAGCACCTGATGTTTCTGTCACTAAACCTCAGTTGTGTGCTTCAGCCATCATCACCATCATTGTCATGGTATTTTTTCTATTAATCATAAGAAGAAGAAGATTAAGGTAGAAAATTATGACCATAAGTAGGTGGGAGCTTTCTGTGTTCAATCCACATAAAAGAAACTCTATAGCATTCCATATAACTGTAGCATGGTTTTATTTTTCCTTATAAACTTACATATTTATCAAAAGTTAACATTTCAGTGATTAAAATTGATACCTTTCTTCCATGAGATTTTGATCATTTTTACATGTTTGATGTGAAACTGTGCTTCTTATTGCTAGAAGGCCTTTTCCTCCCTGTAAGAATAATCAAAATGACTTTTAATCCACATTAGGCCCCTGTTGGATCGCAGGCCCCAAGTGGATTCCTAGGCCCCAGGTGCACATCAGGCGCAGGTGTACAAGCAGGCCCTGGGTGGGCTTACCTGTGTACAGGTAAGGAGCTGACCTGGGGGGAGGGTGAGCGGCCAGCAGCCCAGGGGGTTCTTATGGAAGGAAGTTCTTATAAGTAGTTCTTATGGAAGGAAGGAGCCGAAGATACGGAATCTTAAAGAAGTAAATTCACTTCCTTGGTGACAGACCCTCAAAGAACTTAGAACTCTGGTAACCAGGCACCCACATCCTAAGGACAGCCCCGCAGCCCGCTCCCTTGGTGGGAGAGGATCAGGAGAGCACGATGTTCTTATGCTGCATCCCCACATCTCGAGGCTCCTGCTTCAGGAGGGCCCCGAGTGAGAGCCTTTCCCATGATGCAGACACAGGCTCATCCCTCACCCCAGGCACCTCTGGCCGAAGGTGCCGTGAGGTAACACAGGGTAGCCCGGGGCAGGGTCTACCAGGCCAGGCCTCACCGGTGATCCCATCGGGGCCACATCTGTGCATTGTCCTTGTCCAGCTGGAGCCTCTGGAGTTCCTCTAGGCACAGGCACACGGTGAGGCAGCCTATAGTGTCAGACTTTGTGGGGGCATTTTCCTCCATCTTGGCACATCCTTAAGGAACCAAAAAACTGACCTCTCTGAACCTTGCAGCACTGAAGACACACAGACAGTCTGTACATACGTTTTTGTTTTCTTTTTCTTAAAATGTTTTTAATCTGTTTTCACCTTTCCCACTGCCTATGACAAAACTCTTTCAACATTTCATATTAGAAAAAACGATTGGGCCAGGCGCGGTGGCTCATGCCTGTAATCCCAGCACTTTAGGAGGCTGAGGCGGGTGGGTCACCTGAGGTCCAGAGCTGGAGGCCAGCCTGACCAACATGGTGAAACCCCATCTCTACTATAATACAAAGATTAGCTGGGTGGGGTGGCGGGGGCCTGGAATCCCAGCTGCTCAGTAGGCTGAGGCAGGAGAATTGCTTGAACCAAGCAAGCAGAGATTGTAGTGAGCCGAGATTACGCCATTGCACTCCAGCCTGGGCGACAGAGCGGGACTTTTTTTCAAAAAACACAAAAGCAACAACAAAAACAATTAAAGGATTTAGGTTCCATTTAAATATTACAACATACACTATCCTGTCTTCCCACTCAGATTGAGCTATGAAACCATGACAAGTGCATGGAGCAGCTATTTGAGCACCAGGAAAGGAAATGGTATGCAGCGGTTTGGGATGGCCCCAGCAGATGAAATACAACAGAGTCAGAGTGAGACTCCTGGATTTCCTCAGTGTCCCCTGACTGGGACTCCAGACAGCCTGAAACTTGAAGGGACACAAGCCTGAAAATTAAAAGAACTCCAGAAAGCCCTCTTGTTCAGGATTGAAGATAGGAAAATAAACTTATTTGGTCAAAGTGAAGGCTCAGTCCCCTGCACAAGCAGGTGGTCCATGCTTCTGTTCTCATTTCTCTTGCAGCAGTGCCTCTCCCTGGGTTCACACTGATGTCCTATGGATGGAGATGATAATTCCTGCAGCAGGTCACTCCTCAGCCCCTGTTACCTGAAGGGGCACTGTTCAATCACAATATGGTGTGAGCCTCATGGATATCCCAAGGTCTAGTCGCCACGTTAGACATACAAAGAGAAGAAGGTAAATGAGCTCAAATGATTTATTTACCTAACTGATCAGAACAGTATCATTTTCATATGTAATCTAAGTTCAACTATTTATGTAACATTTTAGATACCTTTTCATGGCCACTGTTACTATTTTTTGAAGAATCTTTATGTGGAGATTGTGTGGCTGATGGGGATGTGAGTGGGTTTTCTGTTGACAAGGGTGGGCTCTTGTGGCTTTCAAAATGTCAACTTTGATAGGCTGAAGGAGGAGTGGAAAGAATGATTTTTTTTTTCACAGGATGTGGAGGGTGGAGATGGGCAGTGTCCATCCTGCAGCTCCCCCTGTGGGTGCATCTGTGGTCCCTGCTTGGGGTGAGGCTGCTTCTCCCGACCCCAGATTCCTGCAGGAGGATCTGACTCTACCTCTCCCTCAGACCCCAGAGCACCTGGCATGCCAAGACCCCTTTCATTCCATACAAATGCAAGAAACACTCAGATCTCATTGGGCATTTGCAGACTCACAATGATCATTAGGAATAAACTGGTGCTTTCTGGTATACTGTGGCCTCCTGAGGTTCCTGATGGCTCAAGTTGGGGATGACTTGTTGTGTTATTTTGGGATGCCCGGAAGCAGACTCTGAGATGGAGATCTGCTTGCACAGCTGGTGTGAAACTAAGTGAGGGAGGCAACACCGGGCAAGAACACCCTGACCCACATTGAGTCTTCTACCATCCCAATAAGGAGCTGTGAAACTCGGAGGATTTTCTGTTTCTCCTATATTGAAAGGGAGTCTTGAGATCTTCACCTCAGGCAGCTATGGAACCAAACCTTGTTGAGAAGGGGCACAAACCTGGAGGAGACAGGTTTCTCCGTTGACAGCTCTTCTCAGTGAGGGCACAGCTCTGAACTGCCACAGCTACCAGCAGTGCTGAGTGGGCATTCTAAGAAAAGGGAATATGGGTGGATCCCACAGTATCCACCCCACTGGTTTTCCTGAAGAGAATGGCAGGATGCCACGGGAGCCTGAGCTGGGCAGTTCTGGAAACTGACTCAGGATATTCAGGCCAAGGACTGGTTTTCATCCCCTATGGAAATCCAGAGCCCAACTAAGGATGTCGACCCTGGCCTGATATTCCAACCAGTCCCCATTTCCCCAAATCACAACTAAGTCCCCCAAACCTCAATGTATCCTTGTCACCTCAGCCCTAAATTCACTCTTGGTGCCCCCTCTGCAGAGCCTGCCTGGACAGCCTCTGAAAAGGGCAGCCTGTGTCTTGCTCCTCCCTCTCCCTGTGTCACTGTGGGATGAGGAGCATTAATGTCCCACATCTTACAGTAATAGCCTCATCCCCAGCCTGGGCCCTGTTGATGGTCAGGTTGGCTGTGTTCTCCAAGTTGGAGCCAGAGAATCTCTCACAGATTCCTGAAGGCCGCCTGCTATCCCCATAGATGACCCAAACACGGGCCTGGCCTGGCTTCTGCCGGTACCATTGAGCACTTTTACTTCCAATGTTACTTTCTCCACAGGTGATCCTGGTCATCTGTCCTGGGGCCACTGACACTGAGGGTGACTGTGTCAGTTCACAAGAGATGACAGAGCCTGCAAGGAAAGAAAAAGGGAGAGAAAAAAGTTGAAACTGAGCGGCTCAACCCAAGGATATCTTGCCACTTGCCGGGACTGGAGTGAGTCCCAGGAATAATAGGGCTTTCAGGGCACCCATGAGCACTGGAGCACAGAGTGGGGGCATTTCAGCACCCCCAGCCCCTCCCCCATCAGCAGGGTCATGAGCATCCTGCCCACCACACACAGGGCCCTGCTGAGCTCAGACTGAGGGCCAGGCTGAACCTAGAGGCCTGGGGCTGGGCAGGTGGGTGAGACCCTGGGGCAGCACCTGTGCAGTGAGTCAGGAGACCCAGGAAAAGAGGGACCAGGCCATGGCTGAAGCACCTCCAATGCTGCTTGTCAAATCTGAGGCTGGGCAGGCTCCTCCCAGGTCTCCCTTAACCCCTTGTTGGAGAGAACGGCCCTTGCTGCCAATCAGCAGAGTCAGGGGCTGCTGCTGGAGGAGGCTTGTGGTTCCCAGAAGGGCTCAGCCCCAAGGGACCCAAAGAGGTTAGGGGTGGCCTTGCCCTCCCGCCCTTTGCCCCCAGGATCTCCTATATGAATTGATTCCATATTCTCTGCAGACATCTCCACATCACACTGCGCTCAGTCTCACTCCTGGGCTCACTTGGTCATAGCAGAGCTCAGAGTTCACTTTGTCTGTATTTCCTGGGGGAATATGAAGTATTTCCTATGGGATGGGTTTTGACCTAGTCTGGGAGGTGACCATAGAGTCATGCTGGTAACTGTGGAATTCTCTGAGGTCCCCAGTCCCCTCCTCCATTCTATCTTGGCTCAGGAAGGAGGTATTTAATTTTGATCTAGGCCTCTAAATGTGTCCTAATCATAAAGATGTTATGTTAGAGAGGAAATTTCTGGTGTAGGCCTAAATCTGTTTTAGATGGTACTTTCCAGAACCCAATGCAGGTTCCCTCTTCATCTCCACTGTACAGGTGATAACACACACCTTGGACAGGTGCAGGTTCCACCCCAGGGCACAGCCCCTGAGTGATAGAGGTCAATGAAATTCCTTATTTGCCAAGTGCACACAGAGTGTTGGAAGATCCATGAGATGCTGGGAGTTTCTGCCTTGGCTGTGAGCTCCTAGGTAGGTCATAGCTGCTGTGCCTCAGTATCTCCAGGATGCTGTCAGGACCAGGGACAGATGGGGAGGCGAAGGAAATGTTTGCTCCGTAAGAGAAGGAGAGGGGGCTGCAAACTCCAAGACCCCCAGAAGTGAATGTTTATTACAAATAAGATGTCTTCAGTTGCTGGGGAAAATGTGTTAATGAATAAGAACTTAAGTCAACTAAAGGTTAATGAGCAACTATTTTGTGACTCACAAAGAAATCAAGAGCTGTGATTTGGCAGCTTCCCCAGGAGAGAGTCGGGAAAGACCAGGGACAGTGGATGTGGAGGAGCAGCCAGGAAGGGAGAAGCCACTATGTCTGCAGGACAGGGACTCCCAGATCAAAGGAAAGTACGGAGGACACCTGTGACCTCAGGGAGGACACTGTACATGAGGGGGACACTGTTTTAGCACAACTGGGTGTGGAGGAGGGGGCGTTGTGAGAAGTCAAGTGCCTGGATCTGTGTCAGAGAGAGTCAGCATGCAAAAGAGCTGAAGATAAAATGTGATTCCAGAATGTTTACATCAGTGTCAAGGACACAAGGACAATCTTCTAGGAAAATAAAGACCCTTTCCCTCCAGGTGTGAGGTCGTGGTCACTGGCACCTGCTGCATGTCAGCATCTCCCTGTCACTCAGGCCCGCCCCATCCCCAGGTAGCTTTGCCAGTTGATTCTCTGCTTCCCCTGGTGGCCTCTCCACACTGTTGGCTGGGAGCTCAGGGACTTCCTCGGTCTAGGTGTGGATTCAGAACCTGCTGCTCAGGTCCCTGATTCCCTGATCCATGGACTGCTCATTCTAAGGGAGGAATTCCCCTTCTCTGTGTGGCGCCTGCCTGACTCAAGACCAGGTACAATGGGCTCAGCTTACCCAAGAAAATACAAATATATATATATATGTGTGTGTGTGTATGTGTGTGTGTGTATACATATATGTATGTGTGTGTATATATATATGCACAGTGAATATATATATACACTGTGTCTATATATGTGTGTATATATATACACTGTGTGTGTGTATATATATACACAGTGAATACATATATATACACATACATACATACACACACACACACACAGTGAAAGCAAATCCCCAACATATTGGAGAGGAGTAACTTGTAAACCTGTAACAGGCATTGTGAGGGGAAGAGCTGGCTCAACGCCCTGCGGTGAAGAGTCTGCTGTGTGTGGGGATCTGAGAGGACATCAGAAACCTGAGGGGACCTGGGACCCAGATCAGTCTGTGTCTGATGTGATACCATCTTGTAAATGAAGATCTGGGCACAGGTGTGTGGTGCAGTTCGGTGTAAGGAGGAGAATTTTCTGTTTATGTTCTCGCGATCTGTGAGGGGCTGGGCATACACACTCCCTGGTGGTCCACAGGATGCAGTTGCTGATGCTGGAACTAATTAGACACAGGTGGGCTCAGGCAGGCCCTTCACCTGTCCCTGCTTACCTGGGGTTGAAGCCACTAGGGGATGGTGGCTAAACTGCCTCAGCTGTCTTCCCAGTGCTCACCTTGCAGCCATGGGGAAATTAAGTTTCTGTCACTTCCATTGATCCTGGATCATCCTCAGTGTACCCAGCAAAAGCAGGCTGTTTTCTCTGGGAGCTCCCCATTTAACTCAGCCATGCAGAGCAGATGATGCGGCACCCCTTTCAGGGGCCACCTGGTTGTTCTCAGGCTCTTACACCAGAGGAAGACAAAGGCTTTGGCATAGCTGGGGTGTCCGCTGTACCGGTGGGTAGGTGTCTGCAGAGAACAGGTTTCCTTGAATGTCACCACACGTCACAGCATGTTCACATGTGACAGCAATGCATCAGTAACATTTTTTGGCTCATCAGTCTGGATAGAGAAGCAGCTGTTTGCCAGATTATTACATAAAATCTTTGGGCAACACTTGCTGTGCCTTCCACGTGCTGACTCATCATATGTGGCGCATGGTCTTTCCCATGCCCTTTCCTGCTCCTGGTTCAGGCCTTGTTCCTTCCACACCATGGCATCCCTAGGTCCTCACCGACCCTGTGTTGTTCCTGCTCTGGGCAAGCCTTCTGCTACTAATTAACCTGATTCCTCCGTCTCTTCTCTCAAAGTCACTTTGTGAACCTGAGTTTCCACCTCAGTTTACTGTGAGAGTCAGTGGCTGTTAAAAGTCATCTTCTCCTTCACCTGTGTAATGGCCATGATTGGCAGTGAAGGGCTTCTTCTTACAGAGCACCTGCTGAATGCTAGTGGCTGGGTGATGGAGATTCAGTTCTGGAAATTCCATCTGCAGGATACACAGTTCCCTCAACTTCTAAATGCATCGATAGGTCCTGCCCACACACATACATCGGTGGGTAGGGAGGGCCATCATCAGCTGCTATCTCCCCTTTATCAACCCAGTGCCCAAAAGTCATAGCGCCCTTCCCCTTGCTGGTGAAAACATCAAATGGATTCATCACTTGAGCAAGGTCCTACTGCATGCAATGAACCTGGTCCAACAGTGCATCAGAAACTTGAGTTTTCTTGTGGAACTTTTGTTGGGTTCCAAGGAATACTGCTTGAAAAATGTTGGATCAGAGAGAAATAGCAACCAAATATCAGCATGGGAAACTTAAGGGTCCTGGTTGGTAAGGAAATTAAACAACTGTAAGAGACATTCTTGTGCAACTGGGAAACATGACTACGGTCTGCATAGGAGAGAGCTGTTAGTATTCTCACTTGTGATAATGAGAGAGACAGAGACCCCAGACAGTGTCCATAGTTGTCGCATCCTGAAAGAGTATATATATGTGCTGATGACAGTAAGCTGTAAACTTTAGTGTATACACATGATTTCACGATTAAACCAGTTGTACTTTTTTTAAAAAGGTGGTATGGACCCAAAGAGTGAGCAGCAGCAAGATTTGTTGTGAAGAGTGAAATCACAAAGCTTCCACAACGTGGAAGGGGACCAAAACGGGTCGCCCTAAACCGGTAGTACTTTTAAAGAAGGAAATAAAGACTGAGACATCCAAGTCAGAAAAGAAATCCCAATAAGCCTGGCCCTAGAGACTGGAATCAGACATCTCTCCTGGGAAAGGGCACCACCCTCACCTGGGATCCTCCCTTCACAGCTGCAGTCCTGGGCCATGAAGCAAAGGTGCAGGTCCCAGGCTTGGCATCCAGGATTTCTTAGTGAGCTCCTCAGAAAGCAGCCCAGAGCCCAAAGATAAAATCTACACCAACAGGGTTCTGGGGGCACATCCAGTCAGGCCTGACCTACCTGGGGAAGGTGATGGGACTTTGGGGACCCTGGGAGGTCAGTGTGCCCCAAACACTGTCCCCAGGTGGGATGAAAGGTAGTGTCTGTGCTTCCTCTTCAGTTACTGTGAAATATCAGCACAGAAAGGACCCTGGGACCAAAAGGGGCTGGGTCTCCAGTGCTCCTCAGGCCTCAAGCACCCTATCAGAATGTGGGGGTCAACTCCTCTGGAAACCAGAGGAGACACAGCCCCTAGGGCTTCCACTGAACTGGTTTTACCCAAGGAAAAGAGAAATTCCACAGGACTGTGCCCTCTGTGACAGCTCTCTCCTCCCCTGCATGATGTATGATTACATCTGGGGCCATGTGCTGTTGTGTGGATTTCTAAACTGTTGATGTACACCACAAACCCAACAAAGGTCCCTGCAGCTCTGACCAGCTTCCCCCTGTCCACTTCTCATTGGACACATGCAGGCCCTGAGAGGATACAGAAGCCACTCAGAATCACCAGCCCTGCAGGGGTCAGGTTAGGACCAGAGAGGACACCTGACCCTGAGGTCTGACCTATAGCTGCTCAGAGGGCAGGTGAGAATGAGAGCCAGGCCAAGGTGGGACAGTTCTGTGCAATTCCTTATCTGTCTGTGTTACTATGAGTCCCTGCCAGCTGCTCCCACTGCTATTATCTGCAGCACAGTAATAGCCTCATTGAGGGCCTGGGCCCCACTAATGATCAGGGTGGCAATGTTCCTTGATTTGGAGCCTAAGAATTGGGCAGAGGTCCCCGAGGGTCACTTATTGTTATACTAGATGACCAGCACGAGGCCTGACATGGCATCTGCTGGTTCCTAAATGCATGTTTATCCTGAGGTTATCTCCAGTGCATGTGATCATGGTTGTCAGTCTCAGGGCCACCAACATTAAGACCAGCTGTCTCTGCATGTAGGAGGCACAGGGCTAAGAGGAGAGGAGAGGAGGGGAGGCAAGAGGAGGGGAGGGGAGGGGAGGGAAGAGGAGAGGAGAGGAGAGGAGGGGAGGGAAGGGGAGGGGAGGGGAGGGAAGAGGAGAGGAGAGGAGAGGAGAGGAGAAGGAGAGGGGAGAGGAGAGGAGAAGGAGAGGAGAAAGGAGAGGAGAGGAGAGGAGAAAGGAGAGGAGAGGAGAGGAGAGGAGAGAAGAGGACTTGAGGACGAAAGATCCATTTACAGAAGATCCCAACCCAGAGCTGAAGTCAGGGTTTGGGCAGGCCAATTGCAGTGTAATATATTGAGTGGTTTAATGGAGGGTCTTTCACCCTTTGTAAAATGTCTTTTAAAATATTTTCACATTATTTCCTTATAAATTTTTCACAATTGAAATAATTAATGTGGCTGGGCGCGGTGGCTCAAGCCTGTAATCCCAGCACTTTGGGAGGCCGAGATGGGCGGATCATGAGGTCAGGAGATCAAGACCATCCTGGCTAACACGGTGAAACCCCGTCTCTACTAAAAACACAAAAAATTAGCTGGGCAAGGTGGCGGGCGCCTGTAGTCCCAGCTACTCGGGAGGCTGAGGCAGGAGAATGGTGTGAACCCGGGAGGCGGAGCTTGCAGTGAGCCGAGATAGCACCACTGCACTCCAGCCTGGGCAACAGAGCGAGACTGCATCTCAAAAAAAAAGAAATAATTAATGTTTCCTATCTCAATATAAAAATACATTTTTCTTAGTGTTGCTGAAACTTTAACTGGGTAGCAAGATGTGGTTGAGGGGATCCCAGGGTAGGTGGGGGCCAAGGATTGGCATTTTATGGTCAGTGACACTGTGGTTTGGTTGCCATAACGCATAGCTGAGCCAAAAAGGAATCAGAATAATCACACAAGATCATGGGTGTGGTCTAGGTGGTCCTAGAGTCCCAGACTGGAAGCAGGTGAGCAGCTCTCCTCTATCTATTATTTTTTTGAATGAGCAGAAAGCGCCATTTGAGAAAGACTGTGAGGGCTCCTGAGCCTCAGCAGGGGTTCTGTGTGATTGTGGCCACACAGCTCACCATGGGGCCCAAGTTGCTGATATGCTAGGTTTGTTCTGAGCCATACTCCTGGGTGACCATTTCCAGCAGCTCCCCAGTCACATGGCAGGGATGTATTTGTGACTTGAGGGACTAGGTTATGAGGCCCAAGTAAGTTGCATGAAGAGTTGGCCAAATAGTCATGACCCAAGCCCTGGGCCATGCCATCCTCTCAGCTTATAGCCTTGGCCTCCTGAGGGGCTCCCTGAGATCAGCTGCCTAGAAGGAGGCACTTACACTGGGGTTACAGAGGTTTCTACAGGACACGCAGCCACTACTGGTGTGGACAATACTGTACTCCACCTGGCCTCTGAG